AGAGGCAAAGAGAGAGAGAGAGAAAGAGAGAGAGAGAGAGAGAGAGAGAGAGAGAGAGAGAGAGAGAGACCACGGGGGGGGTCGACACAGGATCCGACGCGGTCATGACACAGGATCCACAGATCAGGGGACCACAGGGTACCACAGATCAGATATTAAACTGATCAGACGACACAGGGGACCACAAATCGGATATTAAACTGATCAGCAGAACAGATACTACACTTGATCTTAGCCAAAAGGGGGTCGACACAGAAAACAAAGGGGACCACAGATCAGATATTTAACTGATCATCAGAATAGATACTACACTTGATCTTAGCCAAAAGGCCGAGAAAGTTATTGAGTCGAATTGCCACCAAGGGGAAACAGCAGAGGCCAAAACAAAAAAAAAAAAAAAAAAAAAAAAGGGAGCACGCGTGAGAGAGAGAGAAAGAGACCACGGGGGGTCGACACAGGATCCGACGCGGTCATGACACAAGATCCACAGATCAGGGGACCACAGATCAGATATTAAACTGATCAGACGACACACAGGGGACCACAGATCAGATATTGAACTGATCATCAGAACAGATTCTACACTTGATCTTAGCCAAAACGAGGTCGACACAGATGACACAGGGGACCACAGATATTACATACTCGTGATTTTAGCAACGAGTATGGGGCAGAACCAAAGATCAACCAATATAGGATGAGTATGTATGCAACGGAAGTCTGAGAAACGGACTGACTCACATAGACTGACTCACATAGATATCACACCACACACATACAATCGTGAGATGGTGGGGTCTGAGCCATACATAGACGATGCTCAGCCCCGTACACACATACACAGATGAAGGTGGGAGGAGAGACGAAGGAGGTGGGAGATGTAGGTAGCACCAGATGTCACCGAGACAGAAACCAGTAGGTCACCGATATGGTAATCCAAAATGTCATCGAACAAGATCAAAATGTCGAGGACAATAAGTCACCAATGTCGGAGATACAGAGTCTTAATGTAGCCGGTGTCCAATCTGTGATGCAGCCGAGTATCATCCCCAACAATCTCCAAGTCTCAAACCCGGTAAGTACCACAGCCTCTTACTACCGAAGTCCAACACTGATCTCTGTCCAACTAGTATCAGTCTCCAATCCGAAGAAGAAGAAGAAGAAGAGGAAGATGAAGTCTGAAGAAGAAGAAGAAGAAGAAGAAGAAAAAGGAGGAGGGAGTCGAGGAGGAGAGAGAGAGAGAGGGGACTGGCGACAAAGAAGGGAGAGAGAGAGAGAGAGAGAGAGAGAGAGAGAGAGAGAGAGAGAGAGAGTTCAGGGGGGAGTTGGATTGCCTCCAAGGGGAAACAGCGGCCTGAGACAAAGAATTGTGTGTGTGTGAGAGAAAGAGATAATTATGGGCTCTAAAGAGGGGGGGCGATTTCCAGACTTCTTTGTTTTGTTTTGTTTTTTTGGCTCTGAGAAATCGAACTTGAAATGTGAAATTCAAATATTGTGGAGGATCTGACAGGAACGCCTCCGCGTCTGCCAGATGGCCTGTTAAAGGCATGATGAGATACATAGGGATGAATGTATCCCCATACCCGTTACTAGTTCATCCTCGTGGCTCTGTTCGTGGACACATCCTATTGCCACGGTACACCACTATGAAGACTTACGTGAAGGAGATCGTACCAACCCATGAATTTAGGTCCACAGCTGTTCTTCTTCGTTTTTTTTGCCATTTCAATTCATTTTAAATTAGAAAATAATCCATCCATGCAAATAAAAAATAACTTCGTCTTTTCCAAAACCCCAAAACAAATTGATAAAATTGCGTCACACGTCGTAGAATACTTYGCTAGTGGGTCCAGGCCCTAGGGCTGGTCACCTGTGGATATATCTCAAGACCGCCGCCCTTTTTTTTAAAAAAAAAAAAGAATTTCTTGAAGAAAAAAAAATTCTCAAATTAGAACTTTTGAAAAAGAAAGGGAATTAAAATTCTAATTAAAGTTTTTCGTAAAAGAACATTGAAAAAAAAAAAGAGGTGACTAATTTTATTTTTAAAACGGAATTTCAAATTAAAAATTTTAAAATTTGGAAAGAGAGGAATTTTTGAAAAAGAAATAATTTCTGTTAATTTATTTGACGATTTTATTTCAAGGTTTTTTATAAAGAAATTCAAAAAAAAAAAACAATTATAACTGTTTCGAAAACGTTGGATGACTGATTTGAAATTTGGGAGGGAACGGGATCGGGGTGGAGTGGCGGGAAACGAGTTGGGGGAGTCGTCTTTTACACATCTAGATGTGTATAAGAGACAGGACGA